TGCTAATCTGAATCAGTTGCACTGTTGTGGCCCAAGTCACTTTGAGTTCAGTTAGATGGCACAGGGATATTCATCTAGCTATGCATGGTGCTAGATCAAATGCCTCAGAAAACAAAGTACATCGTCAGACAGGAAAAGCACATCAAGTTCCACTCACGTTTTCCATTCAGTACATCTACCTTATTTTTCAATATTCTGTCTGTAACAGTCTTTCCACGTAATAATTCTCCATTCCAAAGAAACTGAATAAACTATTAATATAAAACCATATCTGTGATCCTTGCTATCTGTGATGTCTGATCTCCAGCTCTTTTTTAGTATGATAGGTCTAAAAAATTCACTTACTGTAATTTAAAAAGAAAAATTACAAAGTCCTTACCTTGAGTAAGGGAAAAAAAGATTCCTTAAAATGCAAAAAGCAGTTCATGCACTGGATATCTCAACATTCTTCCTCTTTGAATCACACTAGCAAAAGCTTTTCCCCTTAAAATGAACCTCAGTAAATATGTTGGCCAACAGTCAGACCCACTGCCATATCTGAATTAAATGCAGGGCAGTCTGAGTGAAAGCAGCGCTGATGTCAAAGCAGCACCACCTCTGAGCAAACGGCTTTGAGGAGACCGGCTTAGAAAGTTTCCAGTAGAACACCATTCCAACAGAAAGTGCTGACTTGATGAAACCCAAAATATTCCAGAGGAATGTGCTAATTCAATCAAAACTTTTGAAAGAGGACAGGCCGGCTCGCCAAGCCAGCCAACCAGTCTAGTGAGCTGACTGGCTCTCCCCAGCTCTCCAGGGTCACTGGCTTCCCCACCTGGCCAGGTGCCAGGCTGCTAGTCCCAGCACTCTGAGGGGCACTTAAATAACAAGAAAAATAATAAAGTCTTACGAAGTGTTCTGGGAGACAAACACAGGAATTTTAAAATGAAAAACAGAATTGCTTCAGAACCAACGGCAAGGTTTCTTCACAAGAGATTGGGTGTGTTTGTAACAAAGCATCCAAAACTGGTACCCCTAAAGTTACAAGCAGTTCCTGTGTCTTCTCAAATTTTTATACATCATCTAGTGAAATAAGCATCAATACTGTAACAACACAAAATGAACAATAATTATATTCAAAACCTAAACTTCACCAGACAGCTCTAATCATCAGCAAGGAGTTAAAGGCAAGTTTCTTCCAAAGCACTGAGTAAATTCACACAAATACCCCTGTCTGCCCAAAATACAGGGCTACAGTGTAAGCACCATTTTTTGCAAAGCAGTCCCTAAGTGGGCTCCCCATGTAACTCACCCTGGCAAATTCAAACAAGATGGTGCAAGGGGCCTCATTTAACATTCTGGAGAAGCTCAAAGGAAGAGGTATGGCTGCAGTATATTTTAGCAGAGTTTTTAAGGAAAAAAAAATAAAAGAAGACTGTCAACTAGCAAGTAACCCACTTTCTCCATAAAAGTGGCTTTTGGCAACCTGTAGTTAACCAGTGCATGGGACCTACTCTGGCTCCTCAGCAACAGTATGAAGCAAGTTTTTGATTGCTGATAAAAAGAAGGTTCTTTACGGCAGCAATGCCAACCACCACAATGTTTTTTTCATGATTCCATTCATTTAACCAGCTTTTGTATCAAAATGCCTAGATACTGGTTCATGTGTGAGCACCACAAGTAGTTTAAGAGATGTGGAACAAAGTTCCACAGAAAAAAGAAAGAGCTCCTTTTACAAGCCAAATTGAGTCAGCAATGAGATCTCTGTTGCGGGCAAGTCACATGATTTTGAAAGAATAAGGTTAATAAATGTACCGATTTATTTATATGAAAATCAGCACAACTTACAGCATAGAACTGGGACAATTTTGTGACCACTCTCTTTGAGAAAACACATGTAAATCAGACAGCTGCCAGAGTTTGCAGTTCACTGACCCTTTCAACTGCCAAATGCAATGCACAAAGGTAGCTCAGAAAGCAATTAGAGATTGCCTGGGAGGGCTCATTAATTTTTTTAAAACTTCAAATCACAACTAAACAGTCTTACAACATTTTTCTGGGGAAGACTGCATGTGTCAGATTCATATTTAGAAAGAAAGAAGGTTCATCTCAGAAGACAGAATACATACAATTTTCTCCCTGGTGTTTCTTAGAAAGAACAACTAATCCATTTACAATATCATGAGGAAACACATCCAGAACAGAACTAGACATTAGCACAGTTCAGTCCAACTGCTCAGTTTCTAAATATCTCAGCACCTACAAAGTCTAAGCCTCCCTTCAAAACTCAGAGGAAAAAAAGGAAGAAAAAAAATAATTTTTCCTGGTGATAGTAATAGGACTGGGAACGATCAGTGACCAACCCAAGCAAATGATGTCTAGTTGGTTCTATGTGAGTATGTATGGCATAAGGTCAAATAACAATGAGAAAGTAAAGCATAAAGAGATGCCTTCCATTTTGGAAGTTGATAGAAACATCTTTTCTTCTTTTAAACAAACTTGAGATGCCTTTCTTATGGCCTATGACAAAAAGGCAGATTTATCAGGACAAACAGCAAAATAGCAAGAGAAAAAAAAAGTGTGCATATAGACATTCGCATGCAGTTCTGGGCCTGAAATTATGGTAGCTTTAGGTTACCAATCTGCTAGTTAATTTTCTTTCATTAGCCTCATTAAAGGGACCACAATCATAGCACAAAGTAACACCTGAGCACTGCACAACTCTGAAGCCATATCCTCAATTTCTTTGTGCTGCAGTAATTTGAATAGCCAGCTACAGGCTATAATTTAAGATTTAGTCCATGACTTCAGGAGCTAACCAGCTGGAGTCACGAGGATCAGCGTGCACTTCCATTAAGTGTTTATGAGAATGAGACCATTCTTCTAAGTAAGTGTCTCTCTCAAACCTGCCTACCTAATTTAGCAGTTTTCTCCTTTCAAGGTTATACAACTACTTCCTAGAATGAGTTTGTGTCTCACTATACAGCAGACATACTCCTAAATTGAGAAATGACATGTTGCTGGTAATAACTCATAGTGCATTGTCCACAACCACTTTTGTCATGCTGCAGATTATCCAGAGAGTGGCTTCAGCTGCCACTCACAGGTTTTACTTCTGCTCATTCACATGGAAGTTTAGTGACTTAACAGACTGCACAAAGGTAACAAGATGGCCCAAAGGAGCTCCAACCGGCAGTATGCCAGCTGAGAGAAACGGTGCAGGAAGGAAAATAAGTCTGAATGTGGCACTGTTGCAATACAAACATCACAAATGATAATGAGAGGTTGCATTACGTAATTGCTGTATCTTTGAACAAAAGTTAGTCAGCTGAGTGTGCTCATACATATGTGTAGGAAGCAGCAGGGGCAAAGGATTTCAGTCAGTCAACTCAGAATTTGTGCACATCCCATCAACTGGATTAGTGCCAGAGTTTGTTCTCTGCCAGTCTGCCTCCTCCTGCTCCACCCTAACTAATCCCAAAGTCATTATCTTGCCCTGACTGGGGTGACTAGCCTGCTTCTCTCTGACATCGAACATCCCTCAGTACACACCTTATCCTGGAAAATGCTCAGCCCTAAATCTAAAAAAGAAAAACTAAGAGAAAAAAAGCCCCCTGTGTTTGATGAAGTCAACCCTCTCAAATATATGTGTAGTAACACCAAGAGGAAAAAAAAAGTATTTACTTTTCCTGAGTGCCTTGCTTTGAAATGGATTTCACAACTCTCAGAATATGATTTCAAATTATCTTTGCAATTAAGGGCCAGTATTATTGTTATCCAGACAAAGAATAAGGTGGGCTCAACCATTCTTCAAGACTTGTTCCAATAAAAATATCCAGTGTAGAACACCATAACAGCAAGGTGCCTGGAGGGTCAAAGGGCCCACATAACTGCAGGTTATGCAATAAATAAGAAGGGACCTCTGGGGGTCTTCTGGTCCAGCCCCTCACTTCAAGCAGAACCGTTAGATTAAGTCACTCAGCGCCTTGTTCAGTTAATTTCTAATCATCTCCAAGGACAGAAGTTGTACAACCTCTATGGGTGCCTGCTACTGTGTTTGACCACCCTCATCATATGACATTTCTACTTTACATTGAATCAAATTTTTCCCTGATGAAACCTGTGAGCACCAACTCTCAACCTTTTGCTGTGCACCTCCAGAAAGAGTTCAACTCCCTCTCCTCTACAATTTCTTTCTAATTGCATTCTGTTCTTACATCTGATGACTGCTAAGCAAAAATAAGATTTTCTGATGGTAGGACAGCTCTGCCAAAGCAAGCACTAAGATTTCAGTAAGATTTTCTTACTCCTAGTTTCCTGAAGCCTTTTTGTGTGCTTGCCATAGAACTGAGTGGCAGTCTAAGCCACAGTGACTGAAAGGTTGATTCCAACAACAGCAGAAGTCCTGTTTGCCTTGCATGAAAGGTTGCCTAGAAGAAGAGCTTAGCAGTAGGGAAAAAAGACAGAGCTACTAAAGGTGATTCATTTGCTATTGGCCAGTTGAATTAAAATAACAAAAACATCCATATCTACTAGTCCTTATGAAGTATCACACAGGCAATCAGCTGAAGGAGAAAGTTCTTTAGTTCCTTCAAGAAAAGGTTACTTTCTTGAATACTGTGCAAATGCATGTCAAGTAACAGTCCTTGACAGAGCCTCCAGGAGACTTGACTGACCCACCTCACTACTTTATGCCATTAGGTGAGAGGACGTGTAAGCTCCACATATCTTAAGTGGACACTAAACTCACACGGACCAATACCTGATCTTGTGGGCAAAAAATGGAACAAACACACTCAAGTAAGAATAATTTTATATTTGCAGAACAAGTCAACAGTGCAAATTATGTTGTCATGCAGTATAAATAGACCAAGTTCTTAGGAATTACTTTGAAAAAATTAACTACAAGCAAAAATCATACATAATTTTTAAGTCCACTGAACTAGTTACCAGAGTATCTTATTAAGTGAAGAATTGTTATCACTCTAATATTTAAAATTATCAGCTTACTTCTTTCTTACCATTGTAGGTTATCCTTGGTTTTGTCAAGCACATCACAAGATGTAAATCCATTTCGTCAGAAGATACAAATTTTGAACATACAGGGCACTTGAATCCTATGGAAAATAAAGATACATAAGTGTGAGTACACTCGACCATGTATACTCAAGCCAAGAAGCTATTCTGCACACATTAAAAGAAAAAAAAAAACCTGGCAGCTTTTCAGTTTGGACCTGACATTTCTTATATGAATATGATTCTCTTGATTTCAAAAGATCTCAAAATGGACCATTTTTTCTGCAAATTGTTCTGTTGCCAACTGCAAACATGTCTCTGAAATGCAAACTTTCGCAACAACTTTAAGAACAGTTTAAGACACGAGGAAGATGATAATGACTCTTCTAAAATAGAAATCAGAAATGTGTAGAGAACACAGCCATTAAAATTTGAACTTAGCAGGAACTCTGGACTAACATCTTCATTTTTACCAGGAATAGCACTGAAACTTTAACAAAGGATCTCAGTTTTACATCTCATCATGCAAGCTGCAGCATCTTTTACCAGTCTGGGGCATAGGGAAAAGATTAACTCAGGGGTGTTGCCTCACCTACTGAATCACTAATATTTCCTGTAGCACTGAATTTGTTTGACTTCTCTCATTCTAGCCAAGCATGACCTTGTTTAGCTTTTGAGGTCACAGCCTGAGGCAATATGGGATAAAGAATAATTAAGACAGTCTGGATTGTGATGCAACTGCATAATAGTCTATGACAAAACTACTTAATACTTCATGTCATTGCCAAAGACAGCAGTCTTCCAGTTACAGAACAAGATTGGCTGGACCAGTCTTATGGTCCATGGAAAAGTCTGATAAAAGTCTGATTGATTTTGATCTGCTAAATAATTAACACACAAGTAAAAGACAAAAAGCTACCAACAGGGATTTCGATGATTTACAGAGTATACCTACAGGCAGGTTGTCCAATAGGACAAGATTCAGCAAAAATATCCCATCTATATCAGTGCAAAGGCTCAACATTTTCTTTGATGCTGTTGAAAAGTCTTGATGCAGGCCTGTATAAAAGGCCACTGCACCTTCCACCATGTTCTAGTTTGTTGCCCCTTACTTTTGTACTTCTAACCTTGGGAGTCCACGATGAACTGAGTTAGTCAAGGACGACAAGTGACTTGATGCTGCACTTTCAAGTTACTGATGCCTGAGATTTTTCATCTTTACTGTTAATTATTATCCAAATGTAGATCAAGCAACTAACCTGAAGCATTAGCACTTGGTAGAAGTAATGCACTTCCTTTATCAAGACAATGATTAATTTCTTTAGTGCAGCTAACAGGAAGCAAGTCAGAGGACAGCTAGTAACAACCATAAGGAACTCAGAGCAGCAGCTGAACATGTACTAGAAACCACTTCCTGAGGTAAAGTACAGTTCTGATTCTTCCTATTTTAGTCATAAGCAGTTCATATCTATTTCTTCTTTGTGTCAATCTTACACTTTGGTTTAAGCATTGTTCTGCTCTCCTTATTTTAATTCTCCTCCCTCAATCCACATCTTTACAAATAACGGTTATAATCACAGGTTAATAAGCATAAAACAGTCAAACACATCTTTGGGGAAAAAAATAAGCTGAAAGGATTGGTTTACTTTTAGAAAGCTTTATCAGTGGCATTTTAGCTACTGTAAGGCCTTCTTCCTCCAGGCTGCATCTCAACATGACTAAAATCAAAATTACTATCTCAGTCCTCCAAATGCCCAAAATCACCTTTTATTGTTTTATGTTTTTCTTCAAAAATTGACTCAGGGTATAAATTTTCTCTCTATCAGCCTATTGCAGCTGATTACTAGGCTTTGACTAGACTTAAGATCCATGAATTATTCTTATTTCTATGCTTCTATAAGGCACAATTGACAACATAGTTTGATGTGAAAAAGCACATAACTTCCTTATATGCTGTGGATTGAGTCCTGCTGTGACAGAAGGGAGTGTTTGCATTACAGCAGGTTAACATTTATGTTCATGCCTAGTTAAGCACCAAGACAGTCATTAACAGGTTCCCTCTGCTTTCTGGTCAGAACTCTCCTAGCTTATTCCCCAGGGTCATCAGCACTTGTAATTGGGAGTGACAGAGGGCAGGGACAACTACCAGCAGGTCCTTAAAACCATTGCTAAAGTTAGCAGTGTTAAAAAGACAGTACATATATCAGGAATTATTGGAGGAAATACTTAAAACCAAATAAAACACAAGGGAGAGAATGAGTAAATACTACTACTACTAGTAGTAATAATGCTTTTACTTAAACCATACTTAAACACAGACAGCTGTGAAAAATCTTTCTAGTTTCTAGCAGATGAATATGCTTATACTACCATGCATCTGCCCTTAAACCTAGTATACAACCTGCCTTCTAGCAATATAGTAAGTGTTAAACAATACATTATCTTGTGGCTTGTCCTGTGCCAAGGGGGATCTGAAGGTAATAGTTAAACAACTACAAATATAATCCTGACACAGCAAGTCTGAGATATCTGACTGCTGTAGCTCTACTCAGCATGTGGAACTGAAGAACCCAGAGACTAGAGGACATGACACTTAACTCAGCCTTAAGGAACAACTTAGCTGACACAGGAAAGGTATATTTGTGGAAAACATGCTTTTCCAGTGACCAGAATCAGCTGCATGCCAGAGACAAGCATAACAGCAGAAAAAGAGCCTTGGGCTCACGACACTTGCTGAAACATTTTTCCAACACAAGCGAAATCCTATTTCTCATTCCTTCACAATGTTCCACTGCAATAACCAGTACTTGGATTTAGCAATCTTCCCCAAGAGATGTATAGTGTATGTTTCGTGTGAAGGAAATTACCATTTCCAACTCCTTTAGTGAACCCAAAGAACAGATTATTTTGACAGCAGACACATTTTTTTTTTTATTTTTAACTGTATTTGTAAAAATATAAATAAGTGAACAATCAACACTGTCCACAAGCCAGTTAAAAGTCCTTAAAATGAGCTGGTATTTTCCCACCTTTCCTCAAATCAGAAGGCAATAGTTTCATGACCCAGTTTACAATTAAGTACTCGGTAAGAACAAAGACTCTATTGTACCCCTGCCCAGCAGGCTAACTACATTTATAGCCTATGTTTGTTTTTACCATCAGTCTCAAGGAACAATTCCGATAACTGAAAGAAAGTTTCACGTGACTTTAACAATCAGCAACAGGTCAGAAATAACTTGCTCTCTACATGACTTGTTCTACTGAGTTTTGGAGATAAACAATGCATTCACAGACATTTGGACCACAATGTGGAAGTAGTTATCAGAGGAGGTGGCATCAGGTGAAGTGTCCTCTAAAAACTAAGAAACTCAATTAACTACTTTCTCACTCTCTTTACAAGGAGATCGAAGAGAGGATGTATAGTTCTAGGTAAAATTCCAGCTCTTATGAAGGTGTTGGCTTCGCAGCATCCCTCATCCTTATCCAAGGTGACAGGCTATCACCTTTGTATTACTGTTGTCACTGTCAGCATATCATGGCAAGGTTGTACTTCCTTCTCCCATAGTAGAGAACATTGCCTGTGATACATCTTGAGTCAGTTGAAGAACCACATCTCACCCCATTTGCTTTCACTGCATCAGGAAAGAACTGAGCACCAAAACTGAGCAAACACACACCTCTAGCTGACTTTTACAACTGTGCCCTTAAGAGGCAGGAAGCCAAATTCTGACAAGCTCCCATCATCTAGTTTCACAACCCTGACTACAATACTGAAAGTAACACATTACTTTAAACAAAACCAAAATCCTGGGAAAAAAGTACAATTACAAGAAATGGAGACAGAACAGAAAGTTGCAGTACAGCTACTAGAAAATCCCGAGGTGGCACAGGAAGTTTGAAATAACTAAACCTGTCTCTCATTCTCTTTTGAATGCATCACTCTCTTCAGACTCTGCCATCTTTTGCAAATGAACCTCCAGTTAGCCAAAAAATCCCATCTACTCTCACATCCATCTACAAAACTTGATTTTCATCTCTGGCATGCTTGGAAACTACCCACAGGGACAGGTTGATGGCTTGCTACTCACTCCATCTGTACCAATTTCAACCTTTTAGGGATACTTTACTGTGTTTGCCTTGCTTTGCAAACATCAGACTGCTTAACTTGCAGTTCAGTGCATAGTGGAACAAACATAAAACATTCAACAATAACAAACTCTTGGACCTCTAAAAGTTTTGCTAAATCATGCTGCCACTTACTCTGAAATATCTACTTTATGGTGAGAAGAAAAACAAGAGAGCTAAGAGCTGCCAGACAACACTATGCAGCGTGTCACAGAATTACACACAAAGGAAACATGTTAAAGTGGTATTAGACGTGCACAGAAGAACGGATGATATTTTTAGACAATATTAAAAAGCTGTAGCAAGAAGTAGCCAAAACCAAAACCTGCACTGACACAAAAGACTGCATCAGCCTGATCAGAGTAAACTTTCAGCAGAAAGCATCAACTGCAATACTGGCAAAGCCAAACTAAAAGTATAATGAGACCAGCTGATCTTTTAAAATAAGTATGCAGCATATTAGTTTCTAAATTTTTGTATCCTTATGTTTTCATATAAGATGGATAAGTCCACCTTGGTTTGCATTTAAAGAAGTTATAGAAAAAGATAAATCCTTGCATACACGCACTTTTCTAAGATGTATTTGATAATAAGAAGCCTGACAAATGTTACTTACATATTCCCACTTGGGTTTTGGTACTTAGAAAAAGAGATAAGAGACAATCTGGAAGCCAAGCATTCAGTAAATATGATGGTGGTATGCAAAATTACAAATAAGGCCTGCATAACAATGCTAAAACAAAACAATACAACACACCATAAAAGATGATTACTTCTTATATCTGTGGTAGACAGTCAGAAACTGTGTTCAGTATAAAACAAATTCACACTCGAAAGTGTGTGCCCTTCATTTTTTTTTCTCTAGTCCGAAAAAACCCAAGCTACTCTAATCTTTCCTCACAGGCCCTGATGCCTAAACCTTTTATTCCACTTGTCCTCTAGCCTCTCTCCAACCTTACCATATTGCATTGCCAAG